TTTTGAGACAGAGTCTCTCTGTCACTTAGGCTGGAGTGCAGTGGCATGATGTCGGCTTCCTACAGCCTCCGCCTCCCGGGTTCAAGTGATTCTCCTGCCTCAGCCTTCTGAGTAGCTGAGTCTACAGGCGCGTGCCACCATGCCTAGCTAATTTTTGTGTTTTTAGTAGAGATGGTGTTTCACCATGTTGGCCAGGATGATCTCGATCTCTTGACCTTGTGATCTGCTGACCTTGACCTCTCAAAGTGCTGGGATTACAGGTGTGAACCACTGCACCTGGCCTCCACTTCTAATTTCTAAATATTGTATGTCCTGTTTTCTAGAGTCCACCTCAGTTAAGACAGTTTCTTCCAGAAGAATTTATGAAAACACTAGAGAAAACAGGACCTCAGCTAACCTCTAGGATAAAAGGCGATTGGATTGGACTTTACCGGTTAGTCCTTTTTCTCTTTTTATACCCATATGCCCATGTGTCATGCTTTATTTAAAAACAAAACAAAAAGCTAGACTTTAAACTTTTTTTTTTTAATTCTAGAGTTTGATATGGTTCTCTGAATAGGAAAGGTATTGAGGAAAGGAAATAAGTTATAATCAAACTTTGCTTTTTTAAAATGTATTTTTATAGGCATTTCCTAAAGTCTCCAAATTTTGATGGCTGGTTTAAGACCCGGCGGAAGGAAATGACCCAAAAATTGGAGGCACTCCATCTAGAAGCTCTCTGTGAAGAGGTTCGAAAACTGTGTGTTTGTATAACGATTAACAACTGTTGAAAATAAAGATAGTTATTCTTAGAGGTTTAAGATTGTACCTTTTATCCACTCTTTATAAATAGTAATGATGACTAACTTTTCTAGATCATGCGCTATGTGCCAAGGACATTATAGGGGCTTTATATTGATAATCTGTTTTAATCTTTACCATGATTCTTTGAGGTAGGTGTGTTATGAACTGCATTATGGGAAACCTTTGGCTTAGAAGTTAAATGACTTGCCTCAGATTACATCCCTGCCAAGTAGTGGAGCCAACAGTGTGCTGGAGTCCACTTGCATTGGCTCACAAGAGCTGATTGTTTACATCTCTTCTCAGCTCTGCATTCAGTGACCTCAGGTTGGTAGCTTGAAATAGCCTACAGTGGGAATACTACACCACAGAAATTGGCAAATGCTACAAACCAGAGACCTCTTTTGGAGAACCACTTGTTAAATATTTACCAGCACCTTACTGGCTAGAATAAGGATTCTAATCCAAGAAGCCTAACTCCAGGTCTTTTTCTGTATGACATATTTACCTTTTTTAGTTAGCATTAACACTTTAAAAAATGTAGACTGATTTTTTTATGTTCTGTATTACCAGGCTATTTTAAATTAAACTACTTGTGAAAATAAAAGGGATAGTCTTTTCATTTATATTTAGCTTTAAATGTGAGGTATGCTAGCCTCAGTGTTAACTTTCTACACAGAAACTCCCAGTGACTGTGGCTTTGAGAAAAGGAATATGATGAATGCACCTGCAACATAAGCCCAGGAAGAGGTTATTTGAAAACAAAGTTTACATCCAGTAGTAAACTCATGTTCAGTTATCTTGATTTGTTAGCTAATGTTCTTCATAAGTTAGTTACTACTTAGTGGCAATGGGGGTTAGTATTACAGTTTGAGCAGCAATTTTGTTTTTCTTGTTTGATCTAAAAAAGCCACCTCAGAAAGGAATTTTCTTACATTTTGTTTTACTTCCAAACATGAGACAATTATTCTGGCTAATGCAGAAAAATATCTGACAGTTATTAGAATATTAATGAGAATTATTCTTGCACTATAGTGCTATATCTGGGTTAAATACTTTGTTCTTCTTTTCCATCTTGTCCTTCCTTCACAATAGCCTTACCTATTGAAACAGAGAGGTTTGAATATTATTTTGAGAACTTACTCGTTTGGGATTTTATTATTGTTCTAGGACTTACTTCTCTGGATCCAGAAACACACAGAAGTAGAAACAGTAGACCTTGTTTTGAAGCTGAAAAATAAGCTGGTATGTAGCCGAAACAGTCAAAGATTAAATTGACTTTTCTGTGAAGATATCCTCCTCTCATGTGAGCTGACAACCTATGATAGTTCACAGAAGCAACTTTTTAAATGAGAGGGCTTGAAATTGGTCAATTGATGGTATATATTGCTGAAAATACTTGGTCACCAAAACCGACTGTTATGTTGCCATATTATTCTAACTTTATCTACATGGAATCTAATGAGCTCTATAAAAACATTCTTGTTTATATTTCTGGGTTTTATTATGAATTTACATAGAAGCCTGTTATTGAGCTTAATAACGAATTGTTTAAATGGAATGCTCTTTGCTTTTTTAGTTTCTATAAATTCTGTAACAAGTATCCAATTGTAGGCCTTTAAAATGGTTTACTTAGAGAATATAATGTATTAATACAGAATCAGGATAATTTAAATGCTGTGAAATATTCCTTATGTAGTTGCAGGCTGATCGAGAGCACTTACCTGTGAAACCTGACACTATGGAAAAGTTACGGACACACATAGATGCCATTATCTTAGCATTGCCAGAGGACCTGCAAGGTATACTGCTCAAAACGGGCATGACGTGATATTTGCCAAGATTTTCTAGCCAAAAAGGATTATGCACCATAAGGCATGCTGACATGTCAACCAGACGCACAGTGGAGATCGCTCAGTGGCAGCAGAGTGGAAAATCGGCCATCAATGCTAGTTACAGGGTAGAAAGACTGTATTATATAAACAGACCTTTTTAGTGCATTATTTTAAAAAGTGGACATCTGTGGTGGTTCCACTTTAATACTGAAACAACAAAAGGCATTTCTATATTTTTAATCATGTTCTAAAGTGCTCTTATGAGAGACTTGTGGGGTAATCAGTATTAGTGAATTCATACTGCAGTGCTGGCATTGCAGATATTTTTTTAAATTGGTGCTGTTTTGCCCAATCATGTTAAAACTCAGGGGGATATAAAAATAACATTCACGCTGGCTATCTTGTTAAGAACAGAAAGACTGAACTGTCCAACTACAGTTAGGAGGAATTGATGTTTATGTAGTGCCTTCTGTTGTCCTACATGTTTCACAGTTCCGCTGCTAGTCTTGAAGCTTTTCCTTAGCTTAGTGATGACACGTAATTTTATAAGGTATTCTGTTGAGTGATCATTGTTTAAAAAAATATGTTTCTTGTTGCCCATTATGTTTATTAATAGACATGGTGGGGTTTTTTCAGTTGTCATACAGATTTTCTGTTTTCTCTACCACTTTCAAAATTTAATCTTACCAGTTTCTCCAAAGACAAGAAGGCATCTAGTATTAATTATGGAAGAGTTTATTTTCTCTTACCCTTTACTAATTTAAACATTAGGCCAGGCATGGTGGCTCATGACTATAATCCTAGCACTTTGGGAGGCCAACACAGACGAATCACCTTAGGTCAGGAGTTGGAGACCAGCCTGGTCAACATGACAAAACCCCGTCTCTACTAAAAATACAAAAATTAGGCAGGCATGGTGGTATGTGCCTGTCATCCCAGCTGCTTGGGAGGCTGAGATGTGAGAATCACTTGAATCTGGGAGGCGGAGGTTGCAGTGAGCGAAGATTGTGCCACTGGACTCCAGCTTGGGTGACAGAGTGAGACTCCATTTAAAATAAAAATAAAAATAAAATAAATATGAATTTAAATATTATTAAATGTTTAAATTAATGAACTTGGATGCTTTTCAAAGACATTCTAATTATAAATCTCGTAATCAGCTGTTTTTTTAAACTGAACTATTCTTATTTCAAAGGCATTCATAAGTTTTTTATGTGATAGTTATTTTAGTAATGATAAGATTGATTTCCAGCATTATTTGTTTGGTAGTGTTTTTTTTCTCAATATTAATGTTTCTTAGAACACTTTTCTTACTGTTATTTGACATGGTAACTTTTGCCTGAATCACTGCTATGGTAAGCTTTTGTTGTTGTTTTTGTTTAAACAATACTACCTTGCCAAAAATAGAAGAATCTGATTTGGTAGAGTAAGGTTGTTTGGTTTGTGTTTGAATAAGAGTATCCTGCAGAAGCCACTATTTTTTTTTTTTTTTTTGAGACGGAAGTTTTGCTTTTGTTGCCGACTGGAGTGCAATGGCGCAGCCTCAGCTCACTGCAACCTCTGCCTCCCAGGATAAAGTGATTCTCCTGCCTCAGCCTCCCAATTAGCTGGGATTACAGGCATGCGCCATCACACCTGGCTAATTTTGTATTTTTTTGTAGAGACCGGGTTTCTCCATGTTGGTCAGGCTGGTCTTGAACTCCAGACCTCAGGTGATCCACCCGCCTTGGCCTCCCAAAGTGCTGGGATTACAGGCGTGAGCCACTGCACACGACCAGAAGCCACTGTTTAAAATAGGAACACATGACACAGCATGTGGTTAATAGCCGTATCTTGTATTATCTTCTAAATAACCAAATTTAGTTGTATATATTTGTAAAAGATATGGCTCCAGAAGCTATCTTTTGTTCTCTGTTATATAACTCTTAAGAGCATTCCTGACCCAAGAAAGACTCGTTGCATTTGTAATTGTGGTCTAATACTCAAATGTGCCCTGTTCTTATGGATACAGTCTCTTGAAGCATACCTCAAAGTCATAGAAAGAAAATGGCATTTGAAAGAAGTCGTTTGCCTTGGATCATGTGAGTTATTTTGTAAACAACAGCTGACTTTTCAGAAAATGGGCAACTACTTTTATATGCTAAAGTATTTCATAACTTTCTGGGAAACCTTATTTAGGTATAAATGGTCATCTTATTATTTTTCAAAAAGGTATTTTTAAATAATCTTACAATTTATATACAGTTTGTGACCAGAATTTGCAAGTTGTTAGTGTCATATCAAGGATCTTTTCAATTATACCACTACAGGATATATCATTTCAAGTTTATTTTGCACAGCTAAAGAGTAGCAAAGGATGCCAATTAGCATGATGATGGTGTCTTCATATTTACTATATTTAACTGAAACCTAACACATGTTGAAAACTGTATCGTACCTAGTTTATCTCTTAATTTCAAACTATGTACTTGTAAAAATGATGTAAAATTGCATTGGGAACCTGAGAAAGACTGACTGATAACTTAATTTTTGGTGTGTGATTTTCAGATTTGTCTTTTTTTTTTTTTTAAAGAAGACTTTGTTACTATGTAAACCCTGACATGAAATGTTTTATCTCTACCAGCATCAGGAGGAATCACTGCTTTAAGGGTTTTATGTAATGCCTAGTGCCTTCTATTTACAGTGAAAAAGAGGTTTTGTGAAGGCATTTGTGGTCATTACCAAAAACTAAATTAAAGGCCTTGGATTTTAAAGCACTTGGATATTTTGTGTTATTTCTGAGTGGGGTTGGACTGCTTGGGGAAAATGCATAATGAAACTTGTGCATTAGGAGATTCCTTGTGTTTCCTACCAGGTTGTTTTTTTAAGGACTTCATGAAAACCCTCTGTGTACTTCACTATGAGCAGGTGAACAGTTCTGTTTAAACAGATCAGTTAAGTGACTTCATATCCTTCCTAGCAGTGCACTTATTTTATGAAATATTCTGGTAAAAATGTTGACAGTGTGTGGTGGCTCACACCTATATTCTCAGCACTTTAGGAGGCTGAGGCAGGAGGATTGTTTAAGCCCAAGAGTTCAAGATCTATGTAGGCAACAAAGTGAGACCCCATCTCTACAAAAAATCAAAAAATGAGCAGAGCGTGGTGGCACATGCCAGTAGTCCCAGCTACTCAGGAGGCTGAGGTGGATGAGTGGATGGCCTGACTCTAGGAGGTCGAGGGGTATAATCACACCATTGCACCCCAGCCTGGGTGACAGAGCAAGACCTATCTCAAAAAAATGATTTTTTTTTAGCTCAATCTCAGTTATTGCTAGTTTCTCCTTCATTTGCTATCTTTTTTAAAACCCAAATCTCCCATTATTTTTATTTCTTTCTCTTCTTTTTTAAAAGTAGCAACTACATTATATTATTATTATTATTATTATTATTTTGTCTTGAAATGGAGTCTTGCACTGTCACCCAGGCTGGAGTGCAGTGGCATAATCTATGCTCACTGCAACTTCTACCTCCTGGGTTCAAGCGATCCACCTGTCTTGGCCTCTCAAGTAGCTGGGATTACAGGTATGCACCACCATGCCTGGCTAATTTTTATATTTTTAGTAGAGAATACAAAAATTAGAAACAATCCACGTTTCACCATGTTGACCAGGCTGGTCTCGAACTCCTGACCTCAGGTGATTGGTCTTGGCCTCCCAAAGTCCTAGGATTACAGACATGAGCCACTGCACCTGAGATCCCATCTCTTAAAAAAGGTTTTTAAAAGTAGTCAGACATAGTGGTGCATGCCTGTGGTCCCAGCTACTCGGGAGGCTAAGGTGAGAGGATACTGCTTGCCCAGGAATTCGAGGCTGTGGTGAGCTGTAATCATGCCACTTCACTCAGCCTGAGTAGCAGAGAGAGACCCTGTCTATAAAAGAAAAAATATTTTTAAAAAAATTTTAAAAGATTTTGTTGTTCGATAATCATGCTTCATTCCATTTTACTAGTTTCACCATTAGACTTAGGTTCTTCTGCTTATCTTTGCCTCCCCATTCTTGTTGTCATCATTATACTATTTCTGTCTTAACCATTAGAAAGCCAGACTTCACTGATCCTACATGATTTAGCCTCTCCCTTCCATTTTTCCATGACAGCCAGTCAGAATACATTATGGTTTAAATTGCTTCTACATTGACTGAAAGAGTTTTGGAAAATAGTAACTTTATATTCCAGAGTTATACTTTTTATTTTTTTTATTTTTTTGTATTTTTAGTAGAGACGGGGTTTCACCATGTTGACCAGGATGGTCTTGATCTCTTGACCTCGTGATCCACCCGCCTCGGCCTCCCAAAGTGCTGGGATTACAGGCTTGAGCCACCGCGCCCGGCCAGGTTAGGAGTTTTTTCAATCTGGCTGATAGGACCAGGCATTGTTCCCAACCAACTCTTGGCATTGTTTCCTCTAACCTTATCTGTTGATTTTTCCTTTGGTTTTGGGTAGTTAGCTCAGATTCATGTGCTAATAAGTACTCTGCTGAATATTCTAAGGAAACTTCTGCAGATCTCTCCCTTTCTGTGCTGCTGTCTCCTCTCTGGAATTCTGTCCTAAGGTTTGGTTTTCCTAGACTCTTGGCTCAAAGAGTTCACCAGGCTAATTCTCTCTTCCCCGTTTCTGTGCCGCATTGTGGACACATTCCTAAGGCAATAAACTGGGGCAATATCCCGGCTCCCTACATTTGTTTCCTCTCTTTTAGGGATCATTGTCCTTTGTTGCCTGGTGTTCAGTGTCTTGAAAAACCATTATTTCATATAGGCTGCCTAGTTTGTTTCTGTTTATCTTAGGTGAGTGAGTAAATCTGGTTTTTGTTACTTGATCTTGGCTAGAAGTGAGAATCCCAGCAATCTAGTTACTTGTTTTAAAAGATAGAGTCTTGGCAGGCATAGTGGCTCACACCTTTAATGCCAGCACTTCAGGAGGCTGAGGTGGGAGGATCACTTGAAGTGAGGAGTTCAAGACCAGCCTAGGCAACAAAGGAAGACCCTACCTCTACAAAAATTTTAAAAATTAGCCAGGTGTGGGGGCACATGTCTATAGTCCTAGCTGCTCAGGAGACTAAGGGAAAAGGATCACTTGAGCCCAGGAGTTTGAGGTTGCAGTGAGCCATGATCACACTACTGCACTCCAGCCTGGGTGACAGACTGAGGTTTGCTTTGTTGTCTAGGCTGAACTCCAATGACCCTCTTAAGTAGCTGGGACTACAGGCGTGGGCCACCATGTCCGGCTTTTAGCATTCCAGTTTTAACAAGCCCTCAGGCTTAAGTTTGAGAATTCTGTTAAAATCCGAGAACCATATAGATACATGAATTTAACATTAAGTGATTATTTCATTAACACTATCAACTACCATTTACCATGAAGGAAGTATTACATGAATCAGTAAATCTAATTTTTAGAGGAAAAAAATGTAAATTAATTCTCATTTCTATGTTTTGTAGCTTGGGAGATATTTAAGTAATTATGATGTATTAAAAAAATATTTCTGGGCTGGGCACAGTGGCTCACTCCTATAATCCCAGCACTTTGGGAGGCCGAGGTAGGAGGATCACCTGAGGTTGGGAGTTCAAGACCAGCTTGACCAACATGGAGAAACTTGGTCTCTACTAAAAATACAAAATTAGCTGGGTGTAGTGGCGCCTGCCTGTAATCCTAGCTACTCAGGAGGCTGAGGCAGGTGAATCACTTGAACTTGGGAGGCAGAGGTTGCGGTGAGCCAAGATTTCACCATTGTACGCCAGCCTGGGCAACAAGAGTGAAACTCTGTCTTAAAAAAAAAAATTCTGGCTGGGCACAGTGGCTTATGCTTATAATCCCAGCACTTTGGGAAGCTGAGGCGGGAGGATCACCTGAGGTCGGGAGGTCAAGACCAGCCTGGTCAACAAGGTGAAACCCCATCTCTACTAAAAATACAAAAATTAGCCAGGCATGGTGGCGGTTGCCTGTAGTCCGACCTACTTGGGAGGCTGAGGCAGAACTGCTTGAACCTGGGAGGCAGAGACTGAGGTGATCCGAGATGGGCCATTGCACTCCAGCCTG